GGATTCAAAAACTGCAGATGCTGTAAACTAAGCATGACTCACACCTTCTAGTTTATTTTGTGAATTATCCAGCACATGATGCTGATGGGAAAATGTTGGGAGTGGAGGGGGTGGGAAGCAAGAGGGAGTTGTGTGGTTTTTTTTGGTTTTTTTGGGGTTTTTTTTTTTTTTTTTAAGACCCAAAAGGAAATGCTTGGAGCACGCATGTGTGGTCACTGGGTCATTGAACTGGCTGGTGTCCCAGAGCACGTCATAGGGGCCACGTGAACCAAGGGGCCTTTGGGCCTTTCAGCGGATGTCAAAACATGGTCTAAGACTTTATGCAGAAGCATGAGGTATATTTTGCTGTGAGCCTTGCTTGAGAAGCCAGTGGGGGTCGGCCTTTTGTAGAGCCAGTGCACATTCACACTTCCCATTCCTGGACGTTGACTACCTCTTTGTCACACACCTAAGTATCGCCAGCAACATCTAAAGCTGCCTTTGCTCCTCTCCTGTGGTTACCTCACTCTCTTTGAAGCAGTTTGGTGTTAGAAATGCTGAGCTATGAAGCTGAGGTAATGCTGGAGAAAGCTAGTGAGGCAGATGGCAAAATATAAAAAGAAAAAGGTTATTGCATGAAATTTTGCCAAGTTGTTGTACCTAGAGACTTTCTTATCTTGGCCATAAAGGCAGAGCTTGGGACCATGCGTGCAAGAGCCTCAGATGCACTGATGCTTAGAAGGGCATATTTTTGGGGTGAACTTCCACTAGTGGAGAAGACCTCTGCTTGGAGCTTGCAGAGAGGCTCTTCAGGGTTCCTCAAACGAGTGAGGACACTTTTTCATGCTGCTGCATGGATTTTTGCAGCCCACCACTGGTGCTTCCAGCCATACTGCTGCCCTCGTCCTCCCCGGCTGGCACCTCTGCTGGCTGTGGCAGTGGTTAGCATTCCTGGACTGGCATTTTTTCCTTTCACAGCTGTGCCAGAAGTGAAAGGAAGTGCCAGAAGTGTCCCAGGCCCGCTCCCTGCTGTGCCAAGGCAGATTGGCTTAATCAGGCTATGGTAAATCTGTTGTTAATGTTTCATGCTTCACTGGACCTGCCAATTGTAGCTGCTGTGATTGTACCCCTGCTGCTTGTTTGACTGTCTGATGGCTCTCAGCCAGGGCCTGGAGATGGGAAGTCAAGTTAATTCGTAGCGGTGAACGTAACATTAATCTTACCTTTCATTTTTTGGGCATACCGTTAGGGAATAAGGAAATATATTTCTTTCCTCCTTAAAGCCTCTTGGCAAGGAGGATTTGAGAGTCTCTCCATTGTCATTGGGGCCACCCTATTTCTCAGCGCAAACCCAGTGCACATGATACCTGGTAATGAGTGTGCTGGGGCCACACTGAGACTGGGCAGGGCAGGAGGACTAGCGCCAACGGAGCTTCATTTCAGACCATGCCTGCCTGGTTCACATCTCCAGTTTTTTCATAGTTGCCTCATTGTTGGATGCGTGTCTTCAAGGACGGAGCATTGGTTTCCTTGGCCTCACTTGCAGCTGCGGTCATGCTTGACTTGGTGCCATGGGCGCTGGGTCTAGTCTTGAGGGAGTGCTCTGCACTTGCCATCACCCTCAAACTCCCCAAAGGGAGTTGCAGGTGGCCCCATCTCTTGCCACCTGGCTGGCTGACAGCGCTTCATTGTTTTCGTAATGGGATGTTCTCATCTTCCTTTGCATGTTGTTCTTGGGCTGATGGGGCTTGGGAATAATGTGCTCAGACGAGTTGGAGGCGGACTGCCCAGCCAAGTTTCTGACAGTGACGAAAGGTCTTCTTGTGCCGTCTGCCCTGCCAGCAGCTTCAGCAGCACAAAGCGAGGGCTGTGTGCTTGAGCCATCCATTTGCGGGTTTGTAAGAGCCGCTTAACGGGAGTGGATCTGCAGCCAAGTGGCTTCTTCAGCACTGCATGAATGAATCTGAACATGTGAGCAAACCCAAGGCTTGCTGCTGCCCCACCGGCCTGCTCCATGCTGCGTCCTCTCTGAGACGGGGGCACCGTGGAGCTCAGACACTTGGGAGCTTCCAGCATGCATATCATCAATGACCAGCCTGCTGCTCTCTCTCTGTACTGGATCTTGATGGGATAATCATTACTGGTTTAAGACCAAGCCCCTTTATTCATGTCTAGGCCCTGCAGCTCGGTGGCTTGTCCCGGAGCGTTGTCCCCACTTGCTTTGTCCCTGTGTGCAGAGACAGGGCAGGTGGTGGCTGGGCACAGCCTCAGGTCTGGTGCTGCGTGGCCGTGTTAGGGGTGGCACTGGATCAGAGCTGGGCTGCTTCGGGTCAGGAACCTGGAAACATGTGTGGTGGTGCCCTGGGCTGCGTGTGCTTCCTGGCCTAGGCACTGAGCTCCAAGTGGCACAGACCTGTCCTGAGGAGCCAAAAGAACCCAAACAGGAGCCTTGATTCCCTGCTTTATGTCTCTGTCATCCAGCAGCTTCCAGCTGTGGCTGATGGGAGGTGAGGACCAGAGGAGTTTGCTTTGTTTTCCTCTTTTTTGCTTGTTTGTTTAACTTTGGAGGCCCATGGACTACTTCCAACAGACCTCTGGAGAAGCAGCTAGAAGAAGCAGGGCCATCTATACAACACAACAGTATATGCACTTGGCCTTTTTATTTTGAGTCCGTGCTTTCTTTAGAAAGTTTTTAGTGGCCCATCAATCCAAAACGGTTAAAACAATCATTGCTGTATTGTAGGAAGGAAGCTCACTGGAGATGAGACTTTTTTGGGCTGGTGCAAGAGAAGAGCAGCAGTGCTCTAGCATGATCCTCTCAATTTCTCGCCTGTATGCCAAGCGTGTTTTTGTCAGTATGTTTTTTCCCAAACAAATAGAGAAGTGTGTCTAGGTGTGGGTAGAATGGAGTGAAAAAACCTTAAAGTCCTCCTCTGCATATGTGCCTCTATGGGGAGGATGGAGCAAAGATCTGCCAGCACCATGGCCAACAAGGCAGAGCTCTCCAATTCCATGGGGATCAGAGCAGTGTATAAGCCTGTGCAGAAATGAGTTGGGAAGCAGTTTCATAAGCATTTCTCGAAGCAGCAATCTTTATGCAAAAAATACGCAGCTCTGAAGTGTTCATCCTTGCTCCTGTGCTGCCCGCCTTGTCTTGCTTGCACAGCTGTTCAGGCAGCTGTGCAGTGGACTTGCTCAGAGACCTATTGCAGTTAAAAATAACACTTCCCCCCTCCCTTTTTTTTTTTTTTCTTTTAAACTGTCAGGAGCAAGTGTGCTGCTTCTTGAATATGTGGTGGTAAAAGCACAGCCCTAGATTTGGGTAAGCTGTTTGTGGCACTGTATTGAGTTGTCTTTGCTTAGCTCTGAACTGATAGTAGGGCTCAAACCTCTGAGTTGGAGGTGCTCTTCCAGCAGGCCAGGTGATGCTTGTTGCAAGTAGAAGGTGGTTGTTCCATCATCGTGCTGCGAAGCTGAATAGTATTAGGGACCACAGAAATAAAGTCTCTTTGGGCAAGATCCCCATGCCCCATCCTATAAAAACATGTGTTGGTGACCACCAGGCACCCTGGGTATATCACCTGTGAGTAGCACTGCTGCCTGCTGCTCAACTGTGGTTTTCCCAGTTCTGTGGCTGAACGCAGTGTTTCTTTATTTATACACAAATGCCCACTGGAAGTGTTTCAGTGCTATTTAGTGTTTTGTATTCTCTTTCCTTTTTTAAAAGAAATTGCAGTTTAAAAAAAAAAAAAAAAGCAATGACAAAAACCTCAATTGCACCATCCAGAATTGTACATGCTTAAAGTGAGTCACTATGGGATCATATAACCGTAATCTTTGTCCTCATCTCCACCCTGCTGCTCGTCACTCTCCTTCCCTGAAGCACTGCTCTAGCTGTTGGGAGCTTTTGTCATCTGCAAAACACCAGTGCAGAAAGACTTAACCAAAAATTCCATTGAATATGATAAATGCTTTATCCTCTATCTGACCTCTTAGTACATACAACTAGAAACTCTTCTAGATATTCTGCGAAGATACCGGGCTGCAGAAGAACATCTTGATGCTTCTCTATCGGAGCACGTGCATCAATGCAAGAAGAGGGATGGCTTCTGGGACTGTGGCTTGGGAAGACACAGCTGCCTTCTCGTTTCTTTGCAGTATTTTCCACCCTTTGTGGTGATGGAAATGTTCTCTGATGCTGAAGCTTTCATAAACAGGTTCCTCATAAATTCCCCTTGCAGTTTTGGTACGTTCTGGGGGATTTGGGGTTATTTTCACTTTCTCTTCTGGGCTGATGCGGTGCTCTGCTAAAGAGAAACCTTGGTCTTCCCCACAGGTTTCTCCTGTGGAACACAGCGGCAGTGGCTCGTACCTCGCTCTGCAACTTCAAAATCACCTTGTAGTTCTCTGCTTTGTGCTGTATGTTTCAAATGGGAGAGATTCCCCTCTTGGGTCCTGTTAAGCTGCTTAGCTTGTCAGGTTCAGGAAGAACAAGTGACAGACCTCCCTAGTCTCAATTTTTCAGTGCCCCTGCCTTAGACTCCCCTTGAAGCAGACGGGGAACCCCGTGTATGGCAGATGTGCAGAGCAGGACCACGTACCCCATACTGTAGTTTGGGTGCACAGGTCAGTTTGTCCTTGGTTCGCCGAGGAGCTCATGTGTACCTGCCGCCAAAAGACTGAACCTGATGCTGTGTGTGGGTCCCTGTCCCAATACGTGTGATTTGCGTTCTGTTGCCCCGCTGCCTATCATAACAAGTTAAAAATAAACCTTGGTGTTTTTCTACAGTGTGGGTAGAGCATTCCTTTGAAAGTTCAAGTGCGAAAGTGATAGGCATTGGCAAAAATCTGCTGCTTTCAGATTGGTGCCAAAGCGAGCTTGTCCCCTTCTCATTTAGCTTCCCTCCAGGTTTTTCTCAGCGTCTTTTTAGGAAGCTGTGCTTATCCCTGCTGGTAATGCTGTGGTTGGTCCCATGTCTGGGCTTTAGGTATGTAGCCAGTGTCTGCACTTGAATAAGTCAATGAAGCTTACAGGAGACAACTGTAAAATGATTCCTGAGCCAGTAGAAATGCCTCGCAGCAAGAGTGTGGAGCTCGGTCTGCTCAGCTCCGTGGAGGTCACAGTGTGTATGTGTCTTTGTACGGAAAAAATACTGTTCTCAGAGTCTTTAACTTGGCAAAGAGAGTCATAGTAAGCACAGATGCTTGACCTTGGTTTTAGTTTAACACACTCAGCGTGGGTGTTGGTATAAATCTGGGTGGAATACACAAGGTCTGATCCAGTGGTGGCGTGGGCAGTTCTGGTCTTAAACTAAAGAAGTGGAGGTGGAGGGGAGAGTGGAGAAGGCTTGTTGTGCAAACAGGTACAAAGTAGTGAGTGTGTGCAGAAATAGCCACAGGTGCAGGAGTGGGGAAAAAACCCCACAAGTCCAGACCTTGGCTGGTAGAAGGCAAATGTGTCAGAAGGCTCTGTATATGTATGCTCCCCCAAACCCCGTATCTCTTTTGATGCCTTTTTTTTTTTTTTTTTTTCTTCTAATGCTAATTCTCTTGGCTTTGTTCCCCTGTCTAGTGTGTCGAGACTTCGCTATTCTGGAAGATCATACCTTGGCCCATAACTTACAGGAGCAAGAGAGTAAGTAGCAATGATCTTTGGAACAAACCGAAGCAAATTTTTCCCAACAGATATCTGGCTTTGGTTTTGTTAAGAAAAATACTCCCTGCTTTTATTTAATTTTTTCCTTTCTAATGGGATACAGATTATTATTACTGCCTTCTGTCCTGCAACACTACTCTGTGTTCTGCCCCAGCTTACGTTGCACCCTAGAGATAGTTGCATTTCATGTTTCAATTTTGTGCCCTCTTTTAGAGTTGTGTTTGTTTATGCCATTTATGATAAAATTGCATGTGGGAGTACACTTGAGGTTTTGTTGCTGTGCAAGGTTTTTAGAAATGACTAGCAGTTTTGGAAGCTTCAAGTTTTATAGGCTGACCTGAAGTGCAACCAGAAGAGGTCTGTTTATTTACTTATTTCAGAATTGCTAGTGCCTGCCTTTTGAAAGGAGGCTTCCTTTTAAGACATTTTGAGGTAGGACGCCTGTACACTACAAGGGTTTAAAAAGGAGGAAAAAAAGTACAGCCAGGGACTTCAGTGACTGGTGATTTTTTTTTTATTATTATTTTTTTTTTCCTTTTTACATGCTTATCTGTTACTAGGGGTATGTTTGCATTGCAGTCTCAGGTGTGGTGGCTTCTCTAATCTGCTTTGCTGGGTGCCAAGACCATTGGTATCTACCAGTATTAGGTGCTAATACCATTCCAGGTACTGGGCCAAGCATGCAGCTTGTGCTGAAGTTGTGTCCTTGCTGCTGGAACCTGAGACCCCTGAATTAAAGCTGGCTCTCGGGGGCAGCTCATGTAGACATGTTTTCTTGCAGGCAGTATCCATGTATGGTAAAGGACTTGCTGCAGTATTCAGTTGCTAAATATAAAGGTAGTGAGATTCTGGAACCGATTATGTTGAGAGTGAGAGGAGTTTCCTCCTCTGGAGGTTCTTGAGAACAGATTAGGGAAGCATCCATCAGAAGTGGTTTAGGTTCAACTCATCCTCACTGGTCTCTGGTGGTCCCTTCCAGCCCTTTATGAATCGAGGGTAATTTCCTGTAGCCACACAATGATATTCAAAGCCTAAAAAGCATTCCCTATAAATCTGGATGCACTTAACATAGGCAGATCTTGTTTTGGTAACAGACACGTATACAACCCCCTCAGTGCTGGAACGAGGCAATCTGAAGCTGCTAGCCTAATTTCAGTTCAGGACTTCCCCACCTTTAGAGATATTACACGATGTTTCCCTGCCAAGAGCTGTCTTCCTTTCTGGCCTGGAATCTCCCTCCCACTTGCTTTGTCTTGTTCACACCGTGAAGTTCTGCAAGCTGATTTGTTCTTGTCTGTATTTATTTCCAGTTGAGCATCACTTGGCAACAAATGTTCAGCGTAATCGTCTGGTGCAACATGACTTGCAGGTGGCCAAGCAACTGCAAGAAGAGGAGGATCTGAAAGCACGTGCACAAATCCAGAAACGCCGAAAAGACTTGTGAGTTTGGGATGGAGCTGTTGAAATGCTAGTCCCGTTTGGTCAGAGCACTGAAATCAGCTGCTTTGATGTGGCTGATTGACAGAACGTTGGGTTCAGGGTGATCGGCCTTTTGCTGTTTCCTTTTTCCTTTGGCTCTCTGTTGCCATAGAAGTATTGATACTAGGCTCTGGCACAGAGTAGTGAGAACTGGGTGTAAGTCGGTGGTCCTGGCGGCCATCTTGGCTTAGATTCTGTTGCCTGACCATGTGAAGGAGCTTTCCTGTTCTCCTGCTTGTTGACAGAGTGGGGTAACCTGGCCACTCGCCTTGACTCGCCCTGGCTAAAGTCTGAGAAAGAAGAAACCACACCACAGAAATACAGACCGTTACAGTGAATTCTCTCTCTTGTGGACATTGCAGATATTGGCGTGTTTACATTGTGCAGGATGGGTGCTTTTGAGGAGCTGGGCGCAATGCTTTTTGGTGTCCTGCTGTGCTGAACAGCTGAAAGCCCCTTCTTGTGCTTGTGTGAAGTGACCTGGGAAGAGGAGCTGCTGCCCCTGGGTCACTTGGTGGAGATGGGTGTTGGGGGACAGGCCTTGTCTTGCAGTCACGGAGTTCTGCAGCAGCTGTGGGAGGATGTTTGATGAGTGATCCGGTTTGGTCTGCAGCTTTACTCACGCCCCACACACCAGATCTAACCCTGCGGCCCGTGATTTGGCGTGCTTTCTCTTTTTTGCTCTTAGGCTGTGGAGCTGGTGTAGAAATGAAACGTGGCAGTGCAGGGCAAACCAAACTTTTCTTTCCAATCCAGAGCTGACATGGGTGCTTTTCTTTTTGTTCGGCTGCGTTTTTTTTGTAGCCTCCCCCACTTAGTCTCTTGGCAATGCATGAGATGAAACAAACGGGTTGCGTGAGAGGACTCAGTCAGATCCCGATGATGAGAGACAGGAGCTTGGCTTTCTGATGGGGCTCCCTGCAAATGCAGGGGCTGCAAGGCAGGGTGCATCTCCCAGCGGCTGCGCTGCTTCCCAGCTTGCCTCTTGCTCGGCGATGCCACCCACCAGGTACAGTCGGTGGTGGATCACAGACCCTGGGTGGCTCATCTGGCAGAGGCAGCGATGGAGTAGAAGAGCTCTGTATTGCAGATGTGAGATACAGGACTGGCTTCAAAGGAGCTGCTCATAAAAGATTTGAAGCTGGGGCGTGACAAATGAGCCACTGTTTTCAACGTTCCCAGCATACTCGGGCAGCACTGGGTAGATAAATGTGTATCTCTCAACTCAGCTTTTTCAATGGTTTTGTCTTCGTTACCAATTAGAGATGTGAGCATGTAAATGACAACATAAAAATTAATTTTGTATGGCAGAGATTATTCCTTTTTGTTACTTGCTGGGAACTGCAAGCAATTTTCTTGTTGTAGGACTCTGTAAAATGGGATTTACAAACTTCGTGAGCCAAGTTACAGGCAGAACTGCTGATGCAAAATGTTGTGTCAGCAGCAGCTCTGCTCCTGAAAGCTTGAGCTCTGCTGCAAGAATAGTAAAAAAAGTCGGAGGCATCCTTTTGTAATCAGATCTTTTTCTTTCTTAATTCTTTGTATGTTCCCACTGTCTCTTCCTTGTGCAAGATCAGCGTGTTCTGGCAACAAAATTATCCTCACTGTTGTTGCTTTCTGTATTGTCTAGGACAGTTTGACACTGGAAGGTGATGGGAAGAGTAAAGGGGCAGAACTGGGTGCTCTTTAGAATCAGGGAACATAAAAAAACTCTTCAAATTTATGGGCTTTCTTCTGTCTTTTGAATCCTAGATTCTCTCAGACTTTGTGATGATAAATGAGAGAATAGAAGTAACTTTTCTCTTTTTAAGAATTCGGGGAATCATCAAACCTTATTTTCATGCTTCTTTAAAAGCATCTCTCACATCTAGCTGAGCAGCTTGCACGCTGCCAAGCATAGTAGCAAGGTTGCTAAAATAACTGTTGGAAATACTGTGAAAATATGCTCTTCCCTCATTTTGCTCCCAGTGCTGTGATGGTTCTGTTACACTAATGTGCGCAGTTTCTTTGAATGGTTCCCTTAAACCCTTTTATTTTTTTTATTTTATTTCTCATCTGGCAACAATTAGTTGCTACAGCCAGTGTGAATGGGAGCTTTCTGATCACACTGACTTTTTCCTCTCCTTCTTTTTCCTAAACTGATGTAGAGTTTCCCTGGCACTGTTAACACTCCTGGCTGCCCAGGAACAAAGGACGCCTATTTGTGACGTTCAGGGATGGTGAGGTTTATGTTGCTCTGGCTGATTTCTGGGGACTGATGGGCGCTTGAACTCGCACTAAAGAAACTGAAGGACAAGAAGAGCTGTCAAAGTTCTTTAACCTATTTTCTTATGCTCAGTCAAGTTGAAACACCAGCTTATGTTGATTAACTTACCAAGTCTCAGAATTTAATTACCACTGAGCAATAAAACGGAAAATCTAATCCTCTGTTGCTGTTCAGTGGTTCTTAGAGATTGATACCGTGTATTCCAAGATGCATGTCATCAGGAACAAGACAATGCTTCTGCTTTTGCATTGCTTCTGGCGTTCTTTGCTGCAAATGGAGAGGCAATGACCTTGTTGCCTTGGCTCTGAAAGATGATTAGCTGTTTCTGTCTCCTGTTTGTCTGCAATAAGATGTATTTTAAGCATTTAGGAAGTCAGTTGGTGCTGGTGAACTTGGCACCTTAGCTCTGTTCACAGGTGCCAGGGGAACTGGAGACGTGCAACGCCTTGATATGTCTGACCTTTCTAACTTGTTTTCTACCTGGACTCCCGTCCTCTGAGGCTGGGGTCGTAAGGGATCCACTGCCTTGGGCCCACCGACAACCTGCTCCCCAGGATTTGCATATTCAGCTATTGTTTTGCTGGGGACCCTGGTTCTGTGCTGGTACCAGGTTTGCCAAGATCCCTTTTTACATGGCAGGTTCAAGAACTAGATTTGCTGCCGTGTGAGTTCGTGTGCCTTTGAACCGGTCTCTCCCTGGAGTCGAGTGGAACGCACACAGGCACACGCACAAAATGCCAGGTTTTATTACCTGGATGAAAGAAACCGTTGTCTGAAGGTGTTTGACCCATTGATAACTCCAGCCCTACACACACTGAAGTACATGAGTGCCTGGCGGGATGTCTCTAGACGTGGGTCAGTTTATGGATATGCACAAGTGTTTGAGTGTGGTGGTCTGGGAAAGGGAAGGAAATGTCATGTTGTGACAATGACTTGGGGTTCATGTGTGTTTGGAGAAGGGGGTATAAATAACATGCAGTACCCAATTGCAGGTCTGCTTCCAAGGAGCAGTTGACAGAAATAAAGAAGCTTCTTTTCCCTCCTGCTGCACCTTCCTTTCGTTCTCTGTAACAGATTAGTTGGGTTTTGGTGGCATTTGTCCTCTAAGCCCTCTTCTTGTTGCAGTATCCTTCCTCCCCACCCTAAGCCACGTATCTACTCTTTTCACTTCTCTCATTCTTCTTCACTTTCTATAACAGCAGGCTCTGTGGTGCCACTGACTGCTCCAGCCATGCCACTTTTCTCTGTTTTGCTACCAAAAATGCTTCTCTGCACTTACTATTTTAATTTCCTCTGCTCACATCCTAGACTATCTTCTAGTCCTTTGCCTCCAAGTTTGCTGGGTCATATATGCCCTGATCCTTGCTCAAGCCTACAACCGGTTGCTCCAGTCCACATAGCACAACTTTGACATAGCTGAACTTGCTTCTCTTGAAATATTTGCTTGACTTCCGTCATATGCTCTTGGTAGTCCTCCCATCCCCTATCTGATCATTGCCAGCATATTCTTCAAAAGATTGGATTCTAATAAAGCAAGCTCTGCCTGTTGCTGTTCCCGTTCTCGTCTCCTCCTATGCCTTCCCTTTCAGTAGTCTCAATTGCAGACGCAGCTTAGATGATTGATTTCTCTGACCTGTTTAGAGCTAATCTTTGGCTCGATTTCAACAGTACTGAAAGAGAGAGCTCTTAATCTTTCTTTGCAAATCCCCCAGCCCTTTTCTGGCTTGCCCTAAGGAATCCCTGGCCACCGTTCCAGCCTGTTTGCCAGGCATCAGAGCGCGACGCTGAGTATGGCAGAATTCTTGCAGATGCTTTCAGTACGACATCCCTGAAATACAACCTTCCTGGTCTGTCCGCACAGACGAAACTCTCATTCCATGTCTCAATTACTCCGGTATCTCTCTGTCCCCAGTCAATGCAGTCGTGTGTTGTTCCCGCATCTGCACTGGCACTGTGACGATGGCTCTCTCACCCCTCGTTTTGACGCATATCGCTCTCTTGCCTCTTGGCACCAGTTCTACTTCCGTGTCTCATCCCACCTCAGTGGCATTTCTCATTCATTACTGAACTGCCACCTCTAGCCTCTGCTTGGCCAAATTACTGCGTTTTGCTATCAGCATTTCTGCACTTCTCCTTCCTGGCTTTCGCCTGAAAAGCACTTCCCAGAAATGCCTGCGTTAAATGGACCCCTAACCCCCTCCTTTGGCACTAGGTGTATAGAAATTCCTCAGCAGAATTGGACCGTTTGCACTACGTTGGCCTGTCCAATCCTATGGTGCCTACCCTCCTTTCTTAGCAAACTGCCTGTGAATCTGTTCTGTCTTGTTTTATATTCTGATTGTGAGTGTTTTGGGACCTATTTTCTAAATTTGGCCAGCAGTAAGTACAGGGAGTCCTGGTCCCTGGTGAGGATTCATAGGCTCTGCACTAATACTGAGTAATAATTCTCCTGTGTACATCAGGTGGGTTCTTCAGCTCTTTTATCCCTTTCTCCAGGCTGACTGATGCCTGCGACTTTAGCTGCCTATAATCCTTGTCTCCTTGCCTTCTAGAGAACGACAGGACTGCGAGATTGCTCAGGAAATCCAAGTGAAGCTGGTGTTTGAAGCAGAGCAGCGCCGCAGGCAAGAGGAGAAAGACGAGGTAACCTTTAAAGCCGCAGGGATGGTAGGGCTATTTGTAGCAGCCCTTTCTGTGCAGGAATTTCTCAGTTGTTAGCCACAGCAGTTGGCTTGCATGGTGTCAATCCTGGACCTCACAGATCTCGGCACGCACAGAGATTTTGGGGAGTCTTGTTACAGGAATAAGATACAGTCATAGTCCTCAGGCTCAAGGGTCACAAGGCTGTTGATGCCAGTGGCCTTGCTAACGAAGAGGGCGAGTAATAGGTGGGTCTTGTCGAGGTGTTCATTGCCCTGGTGTAGGAAGTTGTAATTGTTTATGCGCTCTGAGATCTGCTTGCTTTCTCAAATTCAAGATAAGTACTACTTTTGTGAGAATACTGTGTCATGATTTCTTTGACATTGGTGCAAAGACTTCAGCAGAACCTTCAGCCCAGTCATCCATCTCTGGCTTCTCCATTACCTTCTTTTGTCTTTCACAGCCTGAACACCCTGATGCAGTTTCTTACTAGCAGATTCCTTTGGTTATTGCAAAACGCTGCTCTGCTGCTGTTTGCTTGAGAGTGGGCAGTGTGGTCTGTCCCTGGCCTTCAAAGGGTTTGGCGTGTTGATTACTTTATTGTGTCAGCCTGTCAGATTGGGTATTCAAGAAAGCCACAGAATGGAGGAACATCCGTGTGAGCCTGGTGTGGCCCCATTTTTGATTACAGATAGTTCCCTGAGAAGTCTTGGATAGTCTTAAGATGCTCAAGAGGCACCTTGTGGCACTTTCTCTGTAGGAAGAGCTTAAACACAAGGCTATGTTTCCTAGAAGAGCCTGAAATAAGAACCTGTCCTTACCTGACAGATGCATTGGTCTGCTTGTGCAAGACTTCATTTTCTTCTTATACCTTTAAGTCTAAGCATGTACTGAAAGGCTGTCCGGGCAAGTGTGGAAGGGCTTCCAAGAGGAGCTTGTGGTAATGCTGCTGGGAGGAACACTGGCTAAAGGATTTGTGCTATGAACGTGACCATCTGTCTTATTTTTTTGGGAAGGTGAAGGGAATGCAATACCACTCATGCTGGCTGTGGGAATCGCACCTTTCCCTCTTGCTTTACGTAGAGAGCTGCTGGGATGTCAGCAATCTGACAACAGGTCCCTGCAGTCTGTCACACCTGCCTGCTGAGCATCTTGTGCTGTCGGGAGAAATCTTCAAATAAATGTGGCTCAAAGCAATGAGAAGCCATAAATACTCTTTCTCTTCCTGCTGGCATGTAGGAAGTTCCCAAGTGTGGCTGAAATGTAGCTGTGGACTGAGTTAGGCTGGAGCTGGTACCAGAGTGCGGAACTGCTGTCTCTCCTTGCAACGGGATTTCTGGAGAGCTTGAATTGATACTGCTTTCCTTCCGAGGTCCCCGCCAGGTTTATTTCATTTGGGTGGGCTCCTGTGCTGATGCAGGGCATGAGTGAGGTTGTGCAGTGCCCCAAGGGGGGTTATCAGCTGTCAGAGTGGCAAACATCAGAGCCCCTTCTGTAGCCCTCAGCGCAGCAGCTATACATGTACCTTGCAGGATGCTCTGTATTACACCGGTACTGGCCGCAGGTCAGGCTAGTCATGTATTTGCCATACATGGGGGGTGTAGTAGCTGCCCAGTGTACACAATAGCTCCCTGATATCGGTAGTGGCTAGCAGTGTTATACCAGTGCTCTGGCAGATCCAGTCTGGGGCGCGGGGTATTTAAATGAAGCGCTAAGCCTCCCTGCTTACAAGTCCAGTTTGTAAGAAATGGTTTGTGTGGATTTGCAAGTCCTGAGCTGTCTCACTCCTGGAGATAATGTGCTTAAGCCCATATATTTATAGACTTACTGTACTTGCTAGAAAAGGTTAACCTTGTCAGGAGAAAGGAAGTAGGGTTTTTTGGTTTTTTTTGGTAAAGAGCCTGTGGCATCCCCAGGTCCTCCACAAAGCCAGTTACTGAGCAAATCCAATCTGAATCCCGAAATAATAGTTTGCACTTGAACACCCATCCAATGTCCTCCAGTGCTGGCTTTGCTCTGGAGGGTGTTGGCTCTTAGTTTGCATTTCAGTGATGCTTTTCCTGTCTGCAATGTACACTTTATATGCACGGCTCTATAAAGGTCCTGAGGATTAGGGAGGCTTAAATATAGCATCCAAAGGGCTAGCATGCCCTGCTGGTATCTTCCAGCTTCTCTTCCTAGCTTCAGACTACCTCCACTGACTCGCAAGCTTCTGGGCCCCAACAAGCAAGCCCCAGGGAGCTGTTTGCTGTTGCTGGGTCATGTAGACCCATTAGTCATCTCAAAGGAAAACCAATTAGAAAAATGGAGTGCTCTTGTCTTTGGCATATCTACCAAAACTGCGACAGAAGATAAATGGCTGCAGTCCCCGCAGCGCTCCTGCTTTGTGCCTAGTCCTCTCTTCCTAACGTCCCTTTCGATTTTTGTTTTCTTCAGCCTCTGTCTGTCAAATTGATGCATTTCTCTGCCTGGCATCCTACAGTCCCTGTAAATTACCACTAGTTTGAGCAAGTTCATGACTTTCTCTGGGAATTCCTTGCAGTCCAAAGTGCCTTCAGCTGAAGACAATCTTTGCGTTGGTGGTTTTTTTTTTTTCCCTTTCCCAGGTGGAGTTCAGGGGGGAGGTAGAGTGTGCTTGTGTGACTTCCAAATCCTTGCTGAAAGTCCAAAGTTGCACAAGCAGTCCCTTCTGCCATGCTGTGGCCATTAGGGCTTCGCAGGCTTGTGTGCAGGTGGAAAGGAACCCATGAGTCTGCCATGGGGCTGGAAGCTCAGCAGTGGGCCTGGGTGAGGTTGGGTACTGGTTGCTGAGGTGGTCCCTTGTGTCAGTCACGAAGTTGGAAGCCCCATCCAGCCCAGGGGTTGAATTTGAGAGTAACCCTCTTGTTGCCATGTCAGAAAAGTTAAACTATCAGGAGTTTTGTAATTGAATAAAGAATTTGAATAAAAGAATCTGGAGATTTCTTTTGGTGAGGGAAAGGTAATGTCTATTTTCTTCCATCTCTGCAGGACATTGCCCGTCTCCTACAACAGAAAGAACTGCAGGAAGAAAAAAAGCGCAAGAAGCACTACCCAGAATCCCAGGGACACACGGGCTATGAAGATAGCTATTATGCAGAAAATGGAGGTATGTTTCTGATAGATAAAGGATCAAGATCATGGCAGTATAGGTGAACCTAGTGGTCTGGCAACTCTGTTTAGGAGATTTCCTTTGTCCTGCAGTCCTGCATGCAGCACTGCAGTATTGCATCAATTTCCAGGGTCAGGATCAGGCTTTATTCTATAATCAGGAAATATTAAAAAAAAAAAAGTGGAAAAGGCAATTTTATAGTTTTTGGTGTCCTAGAAGACAGCGTAAAGGACAGGGATATAGGGTGCGTGGTGTGTGTATGTGCAAGTACACCTGTGCGTGTTTTGAAAGGGGTTGTGGAAGAAGACAGTAGCTGATAGTACTGCTAAGCCACAGTTACTTCTGTGTAACACTGCAAGCACGTAGGGGAGAAATGCAGATGCAATTCCACACTTGCATTTGAAGAGAAATAGTTTTGTGTGCTCATCTGCGATGCTGGCATAGCTACGTGCGTAAAGGAATAAATGCTGGTTCATGGAACAGCCTTTCAAAAATAACTCCTTGCAGGTATGTATCTAAGCATTAAAATTAGCACAACCGCTTTGAATGACTTACTGAATAACAAGGTCATCTCCACAGAATATCTCTGCTGTGATTATCGTCTGGGACTGTACGTTGTGGAAAAGATATGACCCATAGCACTGTATTGCTTTCTCTTGGTTGGCTTTTGTGATTGAATACAGACCTCCTTTAAACTGGGACGAGAGAATCGGGGTGTGTTTAATTATGGAGCAATCTGGGGATGGCTTTGCTGTGCACTGGTGGTGGTTCTTATGTTCTTTCTTCAAAAAAAAATGTGTTAGGGAAGAGACGGGCTGCTTTTAATTAACAGATTGTGAGGATGAAGATCAAACCTTTTATTTCTCATTTTAACATCAATGGCATTGGTGATTTTAAATGTCTTTATTTGAACTTACACAAAGTATTTTGGTTTCAATTGGGAAGAAGTTCATGAATGGCCAACAAAACAGAAAGCACAAAGTGCAAAACAGTAACCAAGTGGTTACTGAGCACATGTGGTTCATGCCCACAAGTCCTGCTACATGTACGGAGCTGGGAAAGACTTTGATCTTGAAGTCTATGGCCAACCCACACTTCAGTTTTTCAGAATTAAAAGGGACAAATCCCTGAAAAAATACAATATAGGGTAATAGTGTTGCCCTGCAAAGATGGTAGGACAGGATGGATTTCTATAGCAGAAATCAGCTGACAAAAGTCTGTGAGTCTCTGAACTGAGACTGTGGTGTGGATTTGGAGAGCAGGATATCTTGTGGGTCTAATTTTTCTTCCTTCAATAATCTGTAATCTCCAGAGGTGAGGTAGAAGGTGTTTTGCCTGACCATTCATAGTGCTGCTCTTCATCCTCACTCCTTAAAAATTAGAAAGGACTGGAGTGGATTTTGATGCCTGGATCATCTAGTCCATTGATCTGGAACCTCTTAAATACTTGGGCACCATTTGAGTAGACTTCAGCATCCTCTGTTGCATCGTCCTCATTACTTAAACAGAACTTAAACTTAATGTAACTTCAACAAAAAAAAAGCCCTTGCTTTGTTTGGGTTTTAGTCTGTTTTTAGACTGAATAAAAATTTATCCGCATCCAGGAGGAGTGTGGATTAGAGCTACGGCTCCAGAGCAATGTGAGCTCTTAAAAAGTGGAAAAATAAACATGAAGAAAAGGAAGCATTCCTCCCAGAAGTGTCCGTGCCATGAAAAACATTTCTGTATTCACTCAGTCACTTGCTGCTTGAGAGAGTAACACCAGGACCTAAAGAGTGTTTACACAGCCCCTATGGAAGGTGCCGTAGGAACCGGTTCTTGCTGAGGAGTTAATCGCCGTGAGATACCCCAAAAGCAAATCTTCTGCTCAGGCTGTCTGGCATGACTGCGTTACCTGCACCGATCCTGTCCCAGCGCGGCCATGCTTACTCTCTCTTGATCTCCTGCTCTCTGCTGCTGTATCTGTTGAGCTTTCCTTAATAAGAAAATTGAACTAATTCTTAGACCCTTGTTATAGTTCAAAAACTGACTCTTGCTTTTGGGCTGTGGTCTCCGTTGTTCAGTAAGTCACATAGATTGTTTCACTAGATACTTGCTTTCTGTAAATCATGTGAACGGTCTAAAACTGAATAGAAAAACCCACCAGTTAACAGGAACTGCTGTGGTTACTCTCACAGTTCTTGGATCTTTAAAAATTTACCTGTTCTGGATAAAAGATTTGGTTTTGAGGTAGATTTTTCTGTAGGCTGTATTTTTGCTGGCTCTAAAAAAGCTTTTTCTGAATAGAATGACTTGCAGGGAACATCCAGTTTTGGTGTGGGGCTTCTCCCCTCCTACTCCTCCCCCCCTCCCCCCCCTGAAATCTAGATGATTGTAAGGAAAGGAGAGCTATGTATTCAAAGAGAATGAAGTTTGTGTGCAGTGAAATCTATTTTAAATATTAGATACTGTAAAAAAACCTCTCAGCAGTGGAGAAGGAAAGTCTTACACTGCTGGGTTGGGGTTTTTTTTGTGTAGTTCTGTTTCAAATCAGCCTCTGCTTCAAGGAATTTTTTTTTTCTTCAGAAATACACCTTCATTCTGAAAAGCTGTTGCAGAGATAATAGTTCACTCAGTGCAATGATTTTTCTTAGCAAATAGGTTGATTGGAAAATAAATCAATCAGCAGATTGTAGGCAGGCTTGCTGCATCCTCATAGCTGTGTCAGGTTTATTACTGAAACTAAAAGCAAAGAAAATTTCCACCTGCTGTCTGGAAAGCACGGGGAAACAACCCTGCCAAGCTGCTGAGTAAGTGGCTTTTCCAGCTATATTGCTGAGGTCAGGAGCCTGCATTTTGTGAAGACTTATCCTGCCCTTAAATTTCTGTAGCCCTCTCTGCAGTCAGAGCCTAAACTTTTATTTAGGCAATGAGTAAGTGTGGGCCCTGAAACTTCTGGGTCTGCAAGAGAAACGTGACAGTCTGGTGGAAGATATTTGGATGCTGCAGTTATCCATCATCTTGTTCTTGCTTTTTTATTTTTATTTTTTAAAATGAAGTCCCATCCCACTTGTCTCTTTCTCTTCTGTTTTATGTGGGTCTTACCCCTGTTAGGTGAGGCTTTTTTCTCTGATGAAAAACCTTTTGCCCAAAACCAGGGCAAGGCACCGGTGCTCATAAACCAGGATCCAACCTGACCCTCTGCTTGGCTTCCCTAACCTTCTGCCCCCTTATTGTCTCCCATCCTCACCTGCATCTTGCGCCCTCCTTTGCAAGCCTTTCTCTGGTGGTTTCAGTATCCTGCAGCAGTGATGTGTCACCGGGAGATGAGCTGCTCTGCTGGCTGTTTTTAACCCCCAATGGCATCATTAAAAGCCCTTCATCTTCATATTGACTTGTCCTTGTCTTAGGAGGTGCTTGGACACCCTTTTGGGCTGGACCTGTGCTTTCTGCTCCAACCCCGTTGCCTCCCGTGCTGCCCTGCTGGTAGCCACGCTGCCGTTTCACTCTGTCCCCTGTTATGTCCTGCAAGCATTATATCCCCGTTATTTTTCCTACTGATCCTGCCACGCTTAGTCTGCGTTTCCAGCTTCCCCTTGCCTCAAGCTCCCTCATCTTCGTGCTGTGACTCTGGCCTCGCTGAACCACCGTTAACCCCCGCACCACTAACCTGCTCCTTGTTTGTCCCCCCGTTGCCCAGAGCACCCCCGGGGTGACCCCAGAGAGCAGGTTTCTGAGCCTCGCAGGGCACGCAGTGGTGACAGGCGCACACACCGGCGGAGGGAGCACCGAGAAGCGCCCTCCCCTTTGTCCAACAGCACCTCTGAACGTGGGCATTCCCCCTCGGAGCATCGTCGGAGGTCTCCTCAACCAAGCGAGGCCAGCAATGGCCACCGGCAGGAGTGGAAGTCAGCCAGTCAGGGAAGGTCCAGGAGACCTCCCAGCCTTGACCTGGAAAGAGAGGCTGAGCACGGTGCCTACGACCACAGCAATAGCTGGGAGCCGCGGGAGAGGAGAGCAGCTGGCAGGGAGAAGGCTTGGAGACCTCTCAGTCTTGACCTGGAGTCAGAGCATGGACTCGCAGACCAGGCACGGCGCAGCAGAAAGTCAACAAGGCAAGACAGAGAAAAGCACCTTCCTCTTCTGGAGGTGGAACTGGAGGCTGAGCAGGAGACCTGGCATCGGGGCGGCAGCCAGCTGGTGCGCCCTGAAAAACACAAATCTCGTCATCAGGGCCGCTCGTCACACAGAACGGTGCATGACGAGAAGCTCCATGATGCTGAATCTAGAGATGATCATAGGAGGGGTGAGGAAAGAGACTGCAAAAGGGCAGGACACAGGAGACCTTCCCCCTCCCCACATGCTGTGACCCGGGGGAAGGTTGGAGACTGCCAGCGAGACTCAGGTAACCGAGTGATGGGGAAGGTGTACATACGTGTGGGGATGGTCCTTTGCGTGCCCCATCATGTTGTCTGAAATCTGTCTTGTTTCCTTTGAAGATGCTTATCTCCAATATTCACCTGCAATGTATGCACAGTGAATCCTGCCCAAGTTTCTCCCTTATTTGGTGAGATTCTTCTTACCTGTTTATGTTCTTGCTCTGTTTATTTCCTGACGTGTTCCATGGCACCAGAGAGGATGAATAAGAAGGTATTGTTGGAAATGGTGCCCTTGGTATCCTGCATTTAAGAATTAAAAAAAAAAACACACAAAAAAAAAACCCAATCAAACAAACAACAGCCAGCTTTTATTTTCATGATATATTTTGTGCTGTGGTCTCCTTGCACAGGAGAAAAAAAAAAAGAAACCTAACAAAAAAATCCAATGTTAGGATTACACTCGTATTTTGTTGATTGGGATGCAGTGCTGTAAGCGAGGGCAGTTTGCTGAGGCACTAACAAGCTAGCAATTTCCACCCACTTTTACTGAAAAGCCTGCTGGCAACATGATCAATTCACTTCAGGCAAAGTTCAGTAGTGGCACAAAGTGTCTGACTGGGCTCTATAAGATGGGATTCTTGTCAAATTCTGTACAAGTGAATTTTTCTAGGAAACATGTACCTGTGTAGTGCTTGTTGTTCAATCATACTCGTGACTAGTGGGCTTTAAAGATCCAGGTCTGTCTTTCTGATTTAAAACTGCACTGGGGTGGGGGTGGTGTATCTTTTAGTGAGGAAAAGGCTCTTAGTGAAGAGAGGGTTCTGGGGAGACCTTCCAGTACTTAAAGGGGACCTACAGGAAAGATAGGGAGGGACTCTTTATCAGGGAGTGGAGCAATAGGACAAGCGGTAATGATCTTAAACTGAAAGAGAGGAGATTTAGATTACATATTAGGAAGAAGTTCTTTACTGTGAAGGTGGTGAGGCACTGGAACAGGCTGCCCAGAGAAGCTGTGGATGCCCCATCCCTGGAGGTGTTCAAGGCCAGGTTGGATGGGGCTTTGAGCAACCTGGTCTAGTGGGAGGTGTCCCTGCCCATGGCAGGAGGTTGGAACTCGATGATCTTTAAGGTCCCTTCCAACTCTAACCATCCCATGATCCTATGAAAGTAGGAGTCCAGAGACTTGGATTTATGCCTGTCACAGCATGGGAAACTCCTGCTTTAAGCCATCTAACTGGTTTCACTTGGATAAGGTAGGGATGAATATGTGTGTCTGTCTCTGGAGATGCTGGGAGGGTTACTCTTTGTCTTCATCATGCAAAGGTTTTGTTTGAGGAAGTGGAAGGTGTTAATCTGGTCTTTATATAATCAGTAGGTTGTGACTTGCCCTGGTACAATGTGGACCCGAGTGACTCAGTATCCCATCACATTGAGTCAAAATAGCCAGAAGCTCACATCCTCTTCCTGTGGGCCACGGTCATGGTGGGCTTCATGCTCCCCTGAGTGTGGGCAGAAGTGATGTGGAAGTAACGTTTATTGTTGTCTTCTGAGCAAATGAAGCCTGGCACCGATCAGCGTGTGAAGAAAGCTCAGCTCGGGCTGGCCAGCAAACAATTCCTGGAAATTTACTTCTTCATAGAGGCAATGGTGTACAGGAGCCTGTTGACCACGCTGTTGTTCATTCCAGCATGGTAAAAACTGTTTACTGTGACCTTGGGAGGACTCTGAATAATTTAATTCTGACCAAACTGGTGCTTTTTGCCAGAGCGTCTGTGCTGGCTGGAGATTACAGCTTTTCACAGCTTGGATTGATCACACTGTGCGGGGAAAGGCCAGGTCATATATTTAACCATAATGTGTCAGAGCTGAAGTTTTCTCTTTTTATGCAAAGACAGTTTGTAAAAGGGGTGTTAATTGCTTAAGATCACTTATCAGTTGACTCAAACAAAACAAAAGCGATGCCTCCCCTCCCCCCCACCTCCTTTAATACCTGAAGAGGAGGTAGTTTCTTACTCCAGTTTTATTCTGGGTTGATAGATGAGGTCTCTGGCCCGCTTCAGTTTGAAGTCTTCAGGCAGCATGCTTGGTGGAGTGTGATGGGAGTTTGTCAACAGATGCACAGAAAGTTTTGTTGAGTTCAATTGGTTACTTCCTTTTTTTTCCCCCCTTTGATCTTACCTGGTGGGAAGGAAACTGATATGTGGCCCAGTAAGGGTGTATTATTATTTATCATCAATGTATAAAGAGTGTAGCTGGAGGCATGAAAGTTTTGAGTGAAACTTATTTTCTCAGTTTGGGGTGGAAAACAGATGGACATCTGGAGTATTTGTATACTTCGCAAAGCTCATCTTGATGTCTGAACAATACAGTTCGGACTGCAGATGGAAGGAGAAGGCATTAATTGTATGTGAGTGAAGTCATGCATTTTATAACAGGGATACAGAGAGACTCCTTCGATGGCCTGGTGCAAATAGACTATGGAGAGACTTTCAAAATGCAACATTTCAAATCACTTGGAGATGGTTTAACTTTAACATAAACAAACAAATAGAACTGTATTCAGAGCAAGAACTGAACCTTGTGTGAGCTTCAGAAATGTTTACTTGGCAGTTTTCTCATTGTAAATTGTAAAATTCATGGTTCAGCCCAAGGAAGAACTTGTCTGCAACCTCACGTGAGTGTGTCCCGGGCAACTTTTGCAGCCTGTGCCGCTCCAGCGGTGTGTTCACAGACTCTGCTGTGCTCCTGACAGATGTTGGGCTGCTCTCTGCTACCCAGTTTTGCCACTGTATGGCAATGCAGAGTGTGAAAAATTACAATTCCTTTGCTAGCACTGCTGTGTCAGCAAAGACTGCTTCAAGGGACGTGGCCTGTTTGGCGTATGAGGTATTTCTATGTGCATAGGGAAACCTCCCTAAGGTGTGTGGTGCACCTCAGCTCCTTACTCTCAAACCAGTGGTCTGGCAGGTACGCTCTTGTGGCCTCTGCTCCCCTTGAGTGGGGCTTTTGCAGGTGGCTGAGGAGATGGTGGAGATTTCCTTAGTAACGCATTTGGGAAACAGGTTGATTGATTGTTTTCTCTCACAATTCTGTAGGCGCTAAGTTGAGGGGGACAAAGCAAGCCGTGTATGACACACCTCGAAGGGAACAGGAGTTGTCTGATGCAGAGATTGCTCGGAAGCTGCAGGAGGAAGAGCTCCTGGTAAGTAGAGAGGGTGCATTAGGCAACTCGAGGGAACTAAGGTAGCTAGCAAGGACAACTCTAATCTGCAAAGCTTTTTTATAGGACAGTGAGTTTAAGACCTAAGGTCTTCTGACTGTGCATGCTGATAGTTACCTCTGTCTCCCATACGCATACGTATGGAGTGACAGCAGGCATCCAGCCAGTAGAGCCCTGTTTTCTGAAATAAACACCCAAAAAATAAATGAATGAAGCAGAGTGATATTAAATGCACATTTCCAGGCAGGTAAAGATAGCCTGTAGTCAGTGTGGTCAGCCCAGAAGTGAGACGGGCCAGTGCCTACCTTTGAGAGAGAGGGCAGCAGGGTGGTCAATGCGTTGTGGTGTGGCCTGGGAGATAAATGAGTACAAAAATCAGCTGAAAAGGTGAAATGACAGTTTGGTGTTGGGTTGTAAGTATTGAGCTAGCTAAGTGTATTTGGAGAGGATGGTAGCGTATTTGTATGGGCACCTACTTGCCCTGCCCAGTAGGTTAATGGGTATGAATAATTCAGAAGTGTTACTCTTCCCCCCCTCCTCTCCCACTGCCCCCCCCCCTTTTTTTTTTTTTTTTGCAGGCTAATGAGGCAGATCAGAAGGCAGCTCAAGTAGCCCAAGATGAGGTGAGCAAGACATCAAATGTTTGCAGTATTCTTTTAACCGTGGAAACTGCTTAACCCCACTTCTCCTCTCTGACCCTCTGGTTGTTCATTTCCCTCCTTGTAGGGAAGCTCAGGGATCCAGTGGGGTTTGCTCCTAGCTGATTTTCATGTATATGCTCATGCTGGCCAAGCAGGGAGTTGTACTGTGCCTGGTGCAACCACGGCAGAGGAAGGAAGTTCATGGCTGTGAAAGAGCATATCCTGTAACGGAGCCCCAGGGGAGACTATCGGAGATGCTGCAAGACGAACCACCCCACTGAAGGAAAAGGGATAAAGGGCAGAAGGTCTCTGCAAACGCAGTTCTGGCATATCAGGGGTCCACTGGGCATGCTGTATGTAGTCAGTCTTAATTTTGCCCTGTCACTTGATTTGTGATCGCAGATGAGTGAAATCCTGGCTTTTTGCACCCTTCCCATTCAGCAGCTGTCCATAGGAAAGGGTCTAAATAACTCAAATCCACAAAAGCAGTACAAATGTCTGTATTTTTCCTTTTAGGAAATTGCCCGACTCTTGATGGCTGAGGAGAAAAAGGCTTTCAAGAAAGAGAAGGAGAGAGAAAAGTCTTCCTTTGAAAAGAGGAGGCATGATCAAGACTGGAAGGTATGTCGAGCTTCAGGAGGTGCCCCAAATGAAGTGCAAAAATGTTATTCCTATTTCCAGAGGGAGGTGAGGGGGTGTGGTAAGAGCAAAAGGAATGATGCAGGTTGTTGCATCCAAAGGGTCTTGCTGCCTGTTACTCAAGTGCTTCCCAAGCATTTTGGAGCCACCTCCTTGGCTAGATGCTCTTTGGCTTCAGCCTCAAAAAAGGTAAGCCTTGGGCTATGGCCTTCGAGGTCGGTGCTGGACGTCACTGCACTTTGCGGCCTCCCTCAAGCACTGTCAGTCCTCCCGGTGCAGGACCTTCCCTCTGCTGAAATCTTGACTGTAGCAGTAAAAGCAGTAGTTGGTTCTGTTTGTGCACTGCAGGTATAAGGCCAATGCAGCCGTTCCAGTTGTCACTCTGCTTCATAGTAAAATTGGCTGTTTAATGAAAGTACTGAGTGTATCAAGCCTTGGTTTTTGTATGAGTAATACTACAAAGGTTTGGCTAGCCGATGCAGAAGGTGATGGGAAACAGATTTCGTGGTCTACGCTGGTAAGGTGCTAAAGGGGGTGTTGTGTTAATCTTGGGGCCAGTTGGAGGTAGCTCTGATGTTTTCAGCCTCCTCACTGTGTGTGAGTAGTTGCAGGAGCCCAGCTGTGTGCAGCTGGTGCCTCGTGCTCAGCCCAGCCATGCGCACAGTCATTACGCACTGACTGCGTTCGACCCCAGCTTCGGGATGAGTCCCACTGCACTGTCTCATATTTAGAGCAAAAATCGAGTTTGGCTCAGCAAGGCTGATTTTCATTTGCTGGAAGGTAGTCCTGATACTGCCATATGCACGTGTCTGGCTGTAGCTGATTGCGTGTATAAACTGATGCACAAAAGGACTTCATGGAGCTGCGGCAGCCTCAACGCGCTGTCTGGTGTCTTGCAAGGCATGCAGATGAACTGCTTTCCCTTCTTCCCATCAGCATGATGCAAGCGAGTCCACGCGCTCAAGGTCAAGAGAAGGGCCTGAAACTCAGCGACACAAAGGCGACAGGTCTTCAAGGTGAGCTTGAACTGGCTAGGAGAAACGGGGAAATGCACTCGGGAAGCTGCTCAGAAGCTGAGTCCTAAGGAGGAGGCGTGGGGTGACCAGCCTGACCCACCCACAAAGGGCTTGGTAGAGAGCAGAGGTTTTAGCACTGAAAAGAGATGGAGGGCACGGAGCTGATGAGGTGTTTGGTGACATGCGTCACTTGCTGTGCTCGTGGCATTTGTCCATATTGGTCTCCATGCCTGGCGCTGACAGAGATTGATGAGCTTGTGCAGTGACATTTGTTAAATGGCAGAGAAGCATTGGGAGGGTTAAAGAGCTGCTGGGGATGTGAAACCAAATGTCGTCTCTGGGCAGGAAGGAGCAATTGTGATGCATTTGCACAGCTGTTCCCTTGGGTTCCTGCTCCCCAGTTAAGCCCTGTACACTGCTCCCGCTGCTATGTGTGGACAACCCCCAGCAAACAAGTACATCGTGCTTTGGGGTACCTCATCCCAGAGCTGATGGGAACATTCTGTAGCTCAGTGCTGCTTCTGAATCACTTGGTACCATGGCCTGATGCTCCTCATGAGGGACTGAACTCTGGAAGTGACCCGAGTGGCTTTGATTCCTAGTCCAGAAACGAGCCTAGAAATTCTTGTTGAATTTGCAAAAGAAAAAACAAGAGTTGTACAGATGGAGACTGAGAGAGATCTTCTTAAAATACTATGGCGTTAAAACTGGGCAAGCATTAAACACTTTAAAATGTTGCCCTTTTGAGCGAGGTTTGCATCAAACTTCATAATGGAAATTCTTTGTTTCCACAAGAAGTAAATACTATGCATTTCTCACCACAGAAACTGTAACGGGCTGTGCTCAGAGGAGCTGGTCTGCAGGGGGAAAGCCTGGGCCAGACACAGTTTGCATCAAACTGACTTGGACAGACCAGGCAGCGGAGATGTTGCTCTTGCCGCACCGTTATGCCTTTGAGGTTTTTTTTTTCCCCCCGACACTTTTTTTTTTTTTTTTTCTTTTCCATTGTGCTTGACAGGTCACAGCCTCTCCTCAATGACTTTGAACACTCTCGGTATTACACGAGCCAGCCCAGCCCCTTGCGCCAGACCCCCAGACCTGAGCACTCTCCTAAAGGTAAGATCGAGCCCACGGCTGCCCCCGCACTTGGGTTATTGTGGGCTCTTTTCCATAAATAACCAGCCTGCAGGACGGGATGTTTGAAAGAGGGATGCTAATAGAGAGGAAGAATGAATATTATTGCCCCAGCAGGCAGGTGATGCTATTCAGTGTTTGAGTTGTGCTTGCTGAGCACATTGCAGGCTGAGAGACTAAAAAGCTGAATGAGTTTGCCTTGAGTTTGTCAAACTGCTGTCTGCTTGTCCTCTATGATCTCTTAATGATGAATGACTGTAAATCCAGGCAGCAAATGAAGGAGAAATAACAGGAAGACAACGACATGATGGATCTTAGGTGACTCACTAGTATCAAGCAATCCAATACAAGACAAAACCTCACAGTATCACCTGTCTGGCGGGCGAATGGGATGATCAGACTGAAGCTTTTCTTCAGCACAGGCTTGTTCTGTTCCTGTAGCATCTTAGCGCTGCTTTGTTGGCTCGTTTCCTGAAATCACTAGGCACAAGGGCAGTGTGGTTGGGGTCGCCCTCTCCAGTTTTTTTTAAATCCGAATTCAGTTGTCCGAGTTATCTGTAGAGCCTCTGGGGGAGCACAGGGGTGGCCAGAGTTTGACTCAGTTGCTCAGATATCTTCCAGCTCAACTGATTGCGACCTAAATGCAGACAGTTTACTTCCCAAAATTTAAAGTTTGGGAAGTGTTTGCATTCTATCTTCATCAAACAAGCAGGAGAGTTGATGGGCACTTCATATAGTCTCTAAGCCCAGCATTTGCATTTGTTGCGTTTTCTTTAGTGAGGCTGTGAAGTGTGGCCGCAGGGCTGTTCACAGCCTAGAAGAAATGCAAATATCCGCCTGTCTTGTGGACTTGTCCTTCCTTTTGCTTGCATAAAGTAACAGGCAGTTCCCATTTTGGAATTTGACTTTACAAGTACCGTGGAAGTCTCACAGATATCCAAGAGGGTAGGACAAGTAAAAGATGATTGCAGGTAGTATTTTCTTCACCAGCATATATGTCCTTACGTTGTTTTTTTTTCTTTCTGTTTTGCTTTCCAGGTTCCCGTAGGAAGCAGTAAGCTGTGCTAGCCTTTTGCTTTGGTACTGCCTCTTCTGTAGCAAACATTACTGGAATTGCCAGACAACTTTCTCGATTCCTTACCCAATGGGAGGTACACCCTCCACTCCCAGGATCTCCCAGTGTCATCATATTAATATGGAACACTTGTTGGTTTCAATTTTGTACTCATATGTGATCACTTAAGCAGTGCAGTATAATCTAGCCGCCACTGAGCTGTGTGAATCAACTAGCTGATTTGACAGCTCCCTCTTAGATTGTTTTCAGGCTTTCCTTTTAAGCTTTGGCTGGAGCTCTGACAAATAGAGATGCACGTACAACAGGGAGGAAAATCCAAGAAATGAGTTGGGTTATGGCAATGCAGCAGAACGTCAGAAGTACGAGTTCTTTCTATATTAGGAGTTATAAGAGGAAACGTGTGTTTTCCTGTGCTGGATAGGACAGCTGAGCCAACCTGACAGGGTCATGCTATCCTGCAGAAAGGAGAGAGCGTCTTCATAATGTACACCAGCAAGAGCCAGGACCTGGGATGAGTGAGGAAGAAATTGCCTATAGAAAAATTTTTCTTAACTGCTGTATTTCTTTCTAGGGTTTCCAGCAATTTGGGTAGAGTGTGTAACCAGGCATTTAGCTCCAGGATATAGGATGGAACAGTTAAGAGGAAATGCGATTTCAACTGAAATTAGACCTTATGTGCATGACTTTTAAGACGTGCCAGGGAGTTGATGGAGCTGTGAGTTGTGGATTGGGAAGAATCACACAAGCAGATTTAAATGCCCGAAGGGACCTCTGTGGTCACCTGCTTTGAGCTTCAGTGTTGTAGAAGCCAAGGAATTATCACTGAAGCCAAGTAGGAACTACTTTAACTCCTAGCTCAGTTGCTGTTGCACTTGAGGACAGCAACTTGTGTCTGAACTTGCATATGTCTTGGAAACACGGAACTGAAGGAGGGACCATATGGGCACTGAGCGTTGAATCCAAAATCTACAGTTACAGGCAACTTTGAGCTAGACACGGAATGCCCAACAGTCCACACAATGTTTGTGCTGACTGCCTCCCCTCTACCCTACTCCTGCCCGGCACCCCAGGCAGACTCCAGTCAGGATAAAATTAATCCTTTCTCCAGCATAGCAGGGTCTGCAAGAATAAGTTGTCTGTATAGATTTGCCCATGTGGTGATTTTTTTTTTTTTTTCTCCTTTTTTTGTGTCTCTCAGTAGCTTGTTTTCCCTCCACTCTTTGAAAGTCATTCTTCTCTTGTGCAAAAAAAGTAGCTTTTTTCCCTTGGCCTCCTCTCATTTCAATTCTTTTGTCTTTTTAATCATTTTTTGCTGTTTATAAGTGCATTTTTAAACGGCAAAACCAAGCATCTGGACACTGGCTTGGAGTCTTGTTCATCCAGTACAGGCTAGTTGTTCATTTGGCAGTCTAGTTCATGGCAGCAAAGCCTGGTTGTGTTGTCCCTGCAGCCCAGCCCCCTTATTGCCCAGCACTGAGTCTGTCCTACCACGCTCTTTGTCTTCTTCTGGCAGCTGCAATTCTGCTGTTGGGTCAGCTGAGGGAGAGAGGCAGAGCCGTGACTACTTGCCCTCATCTCCATCTGCCTGGGAAAGGAGCCGGACAGCTCTGTAGAGCTTCATGGAGAGCACAGTCTGGTGTGGAGCACCGGTAGGAGATTGGAAGAGATCATGACTCTCTGCTCTTGCAGTACTGCACAGTTGAAGCTCCAAGGCAGCTGTAGGGCTTTACTCTTGGCGGTTGTCCTTGGTCAGGATAGTTACCGAGGCAAATCTAGGAAAAAACTAGGAAGACAAGGCAACTCCTTCACATAAATTGCAAGGGCATGTTTAATACCACAGCACAAGCCTTGACCGACAGCTCGAGAAACCCATCTTCTACCCCTACTGGCACATTGGCAGCAGTTTACTACCTGTGAAGAACCAGTTAACCCCCAGTAGATCTCTGCTCCAGGCATAAACTGGCGAAAAATGTTGTAATCTAGGTTTTTGTGCATTGGCAGCATCCCTTTAGCTGCATACCCTTGCTTCCAGACCATGAGCTTCCTTGCCTGCGTGGACCCTTAAGTGACTCGCAAGCTCTTACTTGCTTGCTGCTTCTTCTCAGGAAATCTCCCAGCCAGCGGCTAGATTGTACTGCCCTTGCCTTGTTCCCTCTTCTAGTTCCATCTCTGTCCATTCAGAAGTGTTAGCATTGTTCTAAAGGATCCGGAAAAAAAACAACATAGACCGTATGTTTTTCTTTTTTATTTGATAACTTGGGCCAATATGGCAACCTCATCTGCAATGATTTTGTTTTGTAAAAATTTATTTTTGTATTTCATGTAACAGTCAAAATTTCTACTGCTGAAAATGCCATTTTTTATTTTTTTTTCCTGCGGATTTTTCCCTTCCATTGCCATCAGAGTATTTATTGTTGTGAAATGAATGCCTGGTGGGGTTTTTATGGACTAATGCTTTCTACAAATACCCCAGTCCAGGCCGTGCTGCTTGTATCATCTGGTGCACTTGTGAAAACTGGATGGGGAAAAGTCCTGCCAAATCAGAAAGTGGCTGTGCTTTGTACTACTCGCTGTGCATGGGGAAAAATGGTGACCCTCTGTACAAGGCAAGGGGAAATCACCAATTAGGAATTCAGCCCTCCCTGGGCCTCTGTGTAGCTGGCTGTGACGGGCTTTCTTGCACTGCAGTTGGCTGAGGTAACTTCTGTCTCTCACCCTAATCAGAAAAAGTCATGAAGGCCCTGAGCCTGCTGACATTTGAAGAACCTATTAGTTCAGGAGGGATGCTTGGGAGCATCCAAGTTGTTGACTTCAGTGGGAGTGAGTGGAAATGATACGAGAGAAAACTCCAGTTGATTTTTGTTTGGAAGCTGGGTAAAGTCTGAAGAGCACCTCAGTGCCTACTCTGGGGAGCTGCAGGATCTCCTTAATGGCCTCCTCGGGCCAGCCAAACTCTCCAGCTGTGGCCCCAAGAGACAAGACCCCAAGGGAAGGATCCCAGGAGCATCTGCTGCTTCCTTGGATGCCTTCAGGGAATGCAGAATGCTTTATGGGCTGCTGTGCTCTATAGCCTCCCTTAGTTCTTACCTTTTTATTATTATTCCCTACTCTTATTCATTTGCACTCCCTTGTAAGTGTTTCTCCTATTTTCTTTTTCCATAGCCCTTGTGAAAAGGGGGCCCTGAGGTTTTATTAGAAGGGGCTGACATCTATCGAGAGAGAGAAAAATGCTAGGAATGGTAACTGATATAAGCCTGTAGTAAATGGGGTATAAACCGAGCAATTATTCATCTAAAATACCTTGTGGGCCTCCTGCAGGTTAGAGACTTCCTCAGGCAAAGGTTGCAACTGGACTTGCATGTTTAGTAACCACTTTGGGAAGGAGATTCCATGATCCCATTGAAGTCAACAAGAGCTGAGTTAAGATCATGGATGATCAAGGAACCAACTTATCTTGGGGCTCAGCAGCCACGGTTCTGCTGAGAGTCAAGAAGATGCAGCTTGTGTAGGTGAGATGCAAAATCAGCACCTTGCACTTGTGTCCCTGGGAAGAGGCACAACGCAGTTGATCTTTTTAAAAGAAGCAATCAGAGCAATATTTCTATGACAGAAAAGATGTTTAAGTAACTTTATTTTTTCCTTATCTTTTTCTTGCCAAGTTTTAGTCGCTTTGCCTGTGGTTTTGCTCTGGATTAATAGCATGTCAGAGCCCTTGCTGGGACCCCTGCCCCAGTTATTCAGGTCTTGCATCCCTTTCTGACTCTGTGCGTTAACAAGACAACAAGCACCATGTTGAAAATTCATCACCGTGAAATCCTGGCACTTCCTAATCTCCACAGTAGGCACATCTCGCCAGCAAGAGCTCTCGCCACCTCCTCGCCTCCGTCCAAAGCACAATGGTCTGCAGAAGAGAGGTCGGGCGAACCCGAGTGATCGTGCCTTACATGCAGGGATACTCGATGTCTTCAGCAGTCTGATCTGAGTCACCTTGCTATGAAACAATGTCTTAACGTGGACTGTGCAGCTTCCTGCAGCGAGAAGCGGTTGTCGTCATGTGGATAGATCCAACAGGTTAATCTCATCTTTTTTAAAGAACTTCGTGGTTTTGAACTTAGTGGGGTGGGAAAATATCAGCTGTTAGGGGATAGATAAAGTCTCATCGTGGAATTTCTCCTCTTGAGGAGGAAGGACAGAAGTTACAAATGCTGCAGTCTGCTTCACTCTGTAAAAGGGATCTTGTATGTACAGTATTTTTATATCTCTGCATTCCCATCTGTCAGGATTTGAATCAGGATTAATAACATTCTCTTACTTAGGGAAAAAAGAAAAGGATTTTTATTTTTACAGTGCTAGACCTCTGTGCGTTTTTATTTTGTGCCAAATTACAGCCACTGTTACATTCTAGTGTTTTCATTCAGTTTATTGCTATTGATCGATGTGTATATTATATATTTTTATTATCAAGGTTTTTATTTTAATTCATATTAACCTGTATGCAAACTAACTGTGGATTGCTAATTTATATATAAAGGGGAGTACTTGGAGAACAGTGTGAGGATTCCCCTATTTAGTTTACACTCTTGTAATCTAGTGCAGCAAGTCCATGAAACTCATCGCTTCTCACACAGCGTGATCTCCCGGCTCTCTCTCACCCTGAGCGGATTGCTCCTGCCGTTCTCCAGGCGCTGCAAGGCTGTGTGAGATGCAATAGGAAACGAAGCGCAGCTCATAGCATGGACTGATGGGTGACCGACCTCTCTGCTGTCCTGCTCCTGGCACTGATGCCAGGGAGGATGCTGCAGTGGGAATTCCCATCTGGGGGTGACTTTGAGGGTTCCTCTGCCCTATAGCCATCCCCAGCTGATGGACAGTGTCGGTTTTGCCCCACTCTCTCAAGGCGCTCAGTGCTTAGTTTTGCAGTTGCTTTGGGAGGTGGGAGTGGGATATAGTGCTGAGGCACAGCAGTGCCCCTTGCATGCAGTA